CTGCCTTGATGCTTTCTTGACGTAGCTTAACTTTAAGATGCAAAAGACTGAATTGCCCCTAAAGTAGGGCTAAGGAACCTGTGGCACTCCAGATGTTGAACGATTCCAGTTCCCAGCAGGCTTAGCCAAACTGTCCAGTTAAGAGGTTCAACCTTGTCTAGAGAGCCTCAGGCTCCTCACTTTTCCTTTCAACCTTCATGTTTGCCTTCTGTTTCAGTTGGTAACTTCTTCAGTCTTTTCAGAAATTCCATTTGTGCAAAATACCTGATTCTTCTTCTCCTGGCTCATATTAATACTGCTCTTAAGGTCAGTCACACAATATTTATTAATATTTAATAATTTACAATTTCTAACCCTTATTTAGCAACTTGCCTTCTCTCGTATCGACTACTGTAATGTTTTGTTAATGAGAGCATCTTCCTGTCCTTTACCTTAATCCTGTAATTCTTGTGTTTGCTTTTTTATACTTTATGCATGTGACACATCTATATCGCAGGTAGTCAAAAAGCAGATTAGGATCTGTCAGTATCTCTCTGGAGGATTTGAAGTAGATCAGCAAGGATTTCTGGCATAGTTTAACAGGAATAATAAAAGAAATGCAATTCTATACATAGTTACATCTGGATGATTCATGTGAAAGCTGTGTCTCTGAGCATAAAAAAGCATTCCCCAGGTACGGAATGAAAACTTGTACTTAAAAGGGCTTCTGTAACTCAGCATTTCAAAGGGGTGGGTGGATGAGAACTTGCCATTGCTGTCTTTAAGCTAACTGCTTATCTTTCAACCTCAGTGTTTCCCACCCTTAACAGGGATGAGTAATATTATTAATTGGTTTCTTTTGAACAGCTCTTTGTGTAGCTCTGCTGGCCAGTTTTAGATACATAAAGAATTCCTGACCTGCAGTTATTAAGATGTGCTTATATAGGCAAGATGAATCATCCCCAGCAATGACTTACAGGGCAGGATATGTAACTGACCAAGTTGTGATCAGCCACCATTTTGCATCAGATTCCATTTGCAGCTGGTCCAGGTGATGGATCTTAGGATTCTAGAAATTAAAAAAAATTATCTTATAAATCTAAAATCTGCCCATTGATTCTTTTTATATTCTCCTAACTGATGTTCTTCCCTACCATTCTCATTATGTTCAACATGTCTCTCTGTGGCCTTTGTTACTATCACTCCTTTTTATGAACCCATTTATTTTTAAGGACGATTTCTCTTTTCAAATCAAATGTGACCACCATGGGCTAAACAGCTTTCTATCTATGTACAGTGGTGCCTCGCTTAACGGCGATAATCCATTCTAGGAAAATCACTGTTAAGCGAAAATATCGTAAAGTGAAAATAAAAAGCCCATTGAAACGCATTGAAAACCTTTCAATGCGTTCCAGTGGGCTTAAAACTCACCATCCAGCGAAGATCCTCCATACGGCCGCCATTTTCACTGCCTGTATAACGAGGAATCCATCCCTAAACACAGCGGGGAGCCATTTTATTTCCCCCGTGGCCATTTTGAAACCGCCGATCAGCTGTTTAAAAATCATCGTTTTGCGAAGAATCAGTTCCCGAAGCAGGGAACCCATCATCGCAAAGCGAAGGTCCCCTATTTAGACTATCATTTTGTGATCGCAATTGCGATCGCAAAAAGATCGTCGTAAAGCGGATTCGTCTTTATGCGGGGCAATCGTAAAGCAAGGCACCACTGTATATCTGTATGTTGAATCAAAGAGCAATGTGGACGTTGTTCCCCAGTGGCTGACTGACACACCATGTCATCATCTCCATTTAGTATGCCACCTTTGGTTGCCTCCTCTCTATTTGGTTTTAGGAGGGAGTGTTTTAAACTACAGACATTTGAGCTACGTATTTGGCACATCTGGAAATGCTGATATCACTAGTTCTTATGGATCACTAGGGAAGGATCAAACCTCTTGTGTCTTAGCTTATGAATTCTTTGAAAAGTATTATAATCATTAACTGATGAATAATGTCCTTGATGCTTCTTGTGTTTTGTTGTATTATTCTTATTTTCATTGCTATTATGTTTGGTGAAAATTAATTTTAAAGTCAGCTCAGTGACTCTTCAATATCGCAAAACATCCATTTTTTTCCAGTTGCAATTTTATTTATTTATTGGCCAGAATTCTATTGCATATTTACACTGGCATAACTCTATCTGCATTAATTTCAGTATTGAATTGCTGCCAGTTACAAAGTCAGTGTAGGCATTTGAGGCAACATACTTTGTGTGATAGCAAATGCTTACATTGACTTTTTCATTTGCAGCAATTCACTGCTGAAATTTACCCTGATGGAGATTTGCCAGTGGGTGTAACACAGGATTCTAGCCATTATTTATGTTTGTTAGTCACTTTATGAATAAGTTTCCTGAGAATTATGCCAAAGCTAACCATACTTAACAATAATACAATAAAAATTCAATAATAAATCTTAAAAGGCCAGCCAAGCATAAAACCCAAATACAAGACAGTAGTATCCACTATAAATTACAAGAGATGAATACAAAGCAGCCAATACAAAGCTAGAAGGACCATTGATGTAATGAAGACTAAAACAATAACATCTTGGAAGGCCTGTGAGAATAGAAAGGTCATAGCCTTGTGCTGAAAGGATAAGGATGTTAGTCAAGTTTCCCTAGAGGTCCATTGCTAGGAGTCTACCAGCCAAAGGGTCTCCTCTCTCATGATCACCTTCCAAAATTAGAATGAAGGGATGCTATCCAGGAGAGCACTCTGTATATACCTGCTAATCTGGAGATAAAACCTCAGTGAACCCAGTGAGGCTTGCTGACTAGCAGAGAAAACCCTGCAGAACTGGAGTTCTAGGAACTTTCTCCAAATCGAGAGGCAAATGTCTCTTGGCTGCCAAAACCCACACTCAGTTGGGATCACAGGGGGTTGGCTGCTACAAATTAGAGGGCCTATGCTGTAGTTTGTGTTTACTGACTCATAGCAAAGGATTCAGCAGCACAGGGAATTGCTACGTTTGTTTTTTCTCTTTCACAACATCAATTTGTAAATGATAGTCTACTGAAAGAAGAGCATTCAAATTTTACTTTTTTGGCTAAATTAAGAAGTATCCCTATTCATTTAGTGCGTCCCCCTGTACTGAAAGAAGAGCATTCAAATTTTACTTCTTTGGCTATTCATTTAGCGCCCCCCCCCAGCTCAGTATTTTTTTCCCACTAGTATGGTAAAGTGCCAATGTGGAACATGGCTAATGGAAGCTTTGGTTCCAGTCTCATCTCAGTCTTACCTACATTGGGGACCTTTCCATCTCCAATTTGAGCCTCAGCCAAGTAAAGGCCAGCTTTGTTGTTGCTGTTGTTTAGTCGTTTAGTCATGTCTGACTCTTCGAGACCCCATGGAGCAGAGCACGCCAGGCCCTCCTGTCTTCCACTGCCTCCCGGAGTTGGGTCAAATTCATGTTGGTAGCTTCAGTGACACTGTCCAACCATCTCATCCTCTGTCGTCCCCTTCTCCTCTTGCCTTCACACTTTCCCAACATCAAGGTCTTTTCTAAGGAGTCTTCTCTTCTCATGAGATGGCCAAAGTATTGGAGCCTCAGCTTCAGGATCTGTCCTTCCAGTGAAAGGCCAGCAGTACCTGCCTATTTGCCCAGAGGCAGGGGCAGCTGGTGTCTATGGTATGGGATGTAAAGCAACCAATGGGAAGGGGAGCCAGGAGTAAAAGCGAATACACATACACACATATATACACACTGGGAAGCATTCACACATACACAGACAGTGCGCCTCTGGAAGGAATGACCTGGTAGCAGAAACCCAAGTGTTTGCCCTAATGGACAAGCCACCAATGCTGTTTTCCTTCCCAGACCCCTAGAAGGATAATGCACATGCATCCGCAGCAGCATCCTGAACCCGTTTTCTTAGAAATAATATGAAGCAAGAAATTTACTGTACTGGGATTTGTTTCCAGGGAGGGTACTCCGGATTGTCGCTCTGCACTCCAATCCTCCCCCTGTTGGCTCAGTAACCCTAAATTCAGTAGGTCTACTTTCTTCCAACTATAGAGAAGTAGGATTTGGGCTCTAGAAAGCCAACAGCACCCCACAGGGAGCTGGGGCCCAGCCTCCACAGCAGAATCAATGCCAGTCGCTTCCTCATATAGCCCACCTCAAGAAAGCCAGGTTGCCTGAGGAAAAGAAGGACGCTCTGCCTTCCTCCTTTCCTGTGTACAAGGAAGTGGGGGAGTTTTCCGAGGCGTGCAAAGGAGCCAGCCGGGGGTCGTGGGGTGTGTGTGTGTGTGTGGGGGGGCTTTCGCGCGCTGGTGGTGGGAGTGTGACTCTTTAACTGCCTTCGACTCCCGGGAGGGCTTTCGAGGGTTCCCCTTCCTCGGGCTGGCGACCCTCCTTCCCCTCAATCTTGGGACAGGGGTGCGCTGGTCGGCGGGGTATCCCTCCGTGCGCGCCAAGAAGAAGGTTCTGTCGCCGCCGCCGCCGCCGCCTGGACCGGCCAAGTGGTG